AACTATCTTTCCTCCGTCTCATTAATATTCCGATGTCATATAATTCAGATTATATACATATAATGCTAGTTGTCATCATCATGGAAATCGCTTTAATTAACGAGGAGGCTTCGTCCCACTCGAATTATGAAACCCCGATTTTGTGACGATCTAGATTTCCTGTTGTATCTGCTTTATAAATAGATCCAGAGATGTAGAATGTAACTTTATCTTAAGAATAAAAAACGACACGTTAGCAATCATGCTTAAAATATATTTGCAAGTGATATCAGAAGAACGAAGCCATTTTCAAACATTTACAAGCAAAAGACATTAATTGGAAGTTCTTTAAGTAGGGGCGTTGGAATTGCTGTACTCTTTAAAATGTGGCGACACATATTTGGTCTGAAATTCACTCTTTACAATGACAAGTAACGTATTTGGTCTGTACAACACTCAGAATAATGACATTTCTAATTTCTTGGTCTGTACTGTTCTCTAGAGAACCCGGTCTTGAGCTGTACTGATCAGGGTTGAATGAGGCCTCGTGTATTTGGCCTGTAGAATGATTCTTCGCGTACACGGTCTCTACTGTACAATTTCTAATGACCAACGTTTTTTGTCGGTATTGTACTCTTTATAATTGTGTGTTACCTCTCGGTCTTAAACTGTACTCTACAGAATAGAAATTCTCTACTCCGGAAAATGAAAAATCACGTGTCTGGTCTGTACTGTACTTTTAGAATTAGACGTCAGGTATTTGGTTTGTACTGTACGCTATAGAGTGAACCATAACTTATTTTTTCTATAATTTCTCTTTTTGGCATTAGGCGTCTCGTCCTAGATCTGAACCACGCTATTTAGAATCAGGCGTCAAATAATTGGTCTGTGCTGTACTCTTTAATATGTGACGTCACGTATTTATTGTGAACTGTATAATAATTCGTCATGTATTTGTAAGTCATGTTTTGGTATTTATTATATGAAATGGAATAAAGGTTCACACATTTGATCTTCTCTGTACTCTATGGCATGAGACATCACGTCAATGACCTATACTTTGTAGAAACAATAAACAGATTGCAGATATGATGAACAACAAATTTTGTTGATCATATTAACATTTTATTGACAATTCGAATCACAAGTAAATCCATCAATTTTTATCAATTTCCGCGACAAGCCTATGCCTGTTTTGGCATTATTAAACTACACATAAACTACAATAAACTAAACTACTAAACAACGCATTATCTTAATCCTAATGGCGTTCCGCCCTCATCATCAGCTTCCTCTCACTAAATTCCCTAGTCGATCTGTTACCTTTACAAAGTTCTGCTACACTAAAAATATCCCAAATCCCTTCTAATCCATCCTTTCCACAAGTCCACTAACTTTGGCCTCGAGGTCAGTATCGTTGGATGGCAACAACATCTAATATCATTATAGTCTACACTTGACCCTCCCAGAGAACACACAGACATTCTTATCTATATTTTCAGGAATTATCTATGACTACTTGGCTATTCCTTTCAAATGCTTTAAAACTTCCAATGGGCCGGAGTTGTAAAATTGTAGGACAAATTATAAACACCTAAACGACTGGTAAATACATATTATTATCATTACAGAAGTCTACATAATGTCAAATTTACGTATTTTTGCTGCAGTGTAGTAAATTGAATGTCAAGTCACGATTTCGTGACAAATTTGAAGTATTCTGGAGTCTGTAGAATGCTATGTCACCGTTTTGCAATGTGCTGAAGTCTACAGTGTCATTTTAAGTCTTTGCACTGCACTATAAGTCTATAGAATGTCACGTGGAGTACATGTATTTGAACTGTGCTGTAGTCTATAGAATGTTGTGTGATGTATGTGTACTATTCTGAAACCTCTAGAATGCCATACAACCTATTTTTACTGTAATGTTGTCTCTAGAATGTAAAATCTCGTAATTTATCGTTACAGAAGTCTACGTTATGCCAATTTACGTATTTAAACTGTACTGTATATAAAGACATGTTTTGTATATGTATTTTACAATAGTATACACAACGCCATGTGACGTATTTTAATTCATTAGATATTAGAATATCACGTCACGTGATTGTATTTAGTCTGTACAGTTATAAATAGAATGTAACTTGACATATTTGCACTCTGCTGCAGTGTATAAAATATCAAGTCACCTTTTTGTGTCGAAGTGTACTACAGAACGTAACGTAACTAATTTGTAATGCACTGTAGTCTAGGAATGTCTCGTCAAGTGTTTGTATTGTAGTGTAGTCTATAGGTGTCATGTCACTAATTTGTAATGTACTGATGCCAAAAGAAAGAATAATCACGTATCTGTAGAATACTTACTGGTGCATCTGTCCTCTACTGATGTCAATAGAATGTCACGTCACACAGTTGTATTAAATGTAGTCACGTTATTGTTCAGTTGCGTTGTCTAAATAATGTCATGTAATGTATTTGCACTGCACTATATTCTACAGAATGTCATGTAAAGAAATTTAAAAGACTATAGTCTAGAATGTAACTCATATATTTATACTGTACTTTAGTTTATAATACGTCACGTCATGTATTTGTACTGTATATTTATAGAATGTTATAAAGCATCTTTGCACTATATTCTCAGAATGAATGGTAAAGAAATTTAAAAGGTATAATCACGAATGACTCATATATTTATACTGTGAAGTTTATAATGGGTCAAAACATGTATTTGTCATAGATTAAAAATATATTGAAACAGTTGTACTCTCTATGATTTTCTGTATTTGGTATAATCACTTGTTCAAAACATTTATGAAGTTATAATGTTGTGAACATACACGGTTTATAAAGAAAATATAGTGAAACATGTACTATAATGTTGTGAACACACACATGTTTAAAACATTTATACTATAATGTTGTGAACATACACTGGTTTAAAACATTTATATTATAATGTTGTAAACACACGCATGTTTAAAACATTTATACTATAATGTTGTGAACATACATTGGTTTAAAACATTTATACTATAATGCTGTGAACACATGCATGTTTAAAACATTTATACTATAATGTTGTGAACAAGCACGGGTTTAAAATAGTTGTATTATAATGCTGTGAATACACAATAAAAAAAAGATATTGTACCGCATAACAGAACTGTAACAAACTATGTTGTGTGTGAAAAACTGTAAACATGTTGTCCCATTTGAAAACTATAACAAATTACGTTGTCCCTATGATAGACTGAACATATTGTCTTGTCTCCGTGTTAGAATGCAACAAAATTGGTTGTCAGCGTTATAGACTTAATGCAATCTCGCTTTCCTATGATAAATTGTAGTAAGATGTACTTTCTCTGTGATAGATGGAATGAACAAATTCTGTTTTTGATGTACTAGTCTTGATTCATTCTCTTGTTTCCGTAAAAGAACAATGGCTTTTGTTTGGGATAGACTGTAACAAACAATTATGTTGTCAATTAGCAAATTATATTGTCCTGAAGTAACCGTATACCTTTTATAAACCTACAAAAACGTATTCCCCACTCCCGTATAAAAGTACCCTTCTATCAAATAACCTCGATTTCAATTAAATGACTTCAAAGCAATTGTTTAGAGTCTACACATTTCAAACCTCGAGGGCAGGAAGATATCTCGCCATTTCTTTTCAACTATTTCTATCTCTAACGGTCATTGACAAACAAACCCATACCCAATAATGGTAACACCAATCAAATTGGGACAATCAAACTCAGTCAAATGTTTCCAGTATACAAATACAACATCAATTTCATTTATATGTGTTATAACTTTACTTACATTACTTTAAACAGCCTGATCAGAATCACAAATATTACCTGTAAATAGCTTCCCAGAAAATCGATTTTTCGGACAGAAAATTAATATTCCCATTTATATAAGACCGTGTACATACCACTGTATACACACAGATACTATGACATATCGGTGTCTATCAATCAATCCTTATTCCTTGCACATATTTCCAAATCGTTCCTGTTGTCTATTTGTCATTTTGCCTGCTAACGTGACTGTGACCACGAGCGACAAAAGCATTTGTAGACTTAGTACATAAATCGATTACAGGCATTGAAAGTTTCGATTTTCATTGAAGGAAGACATAAAGGCCTAACCGGTGTTTTCCGAAGAATTGATCATGTGGTCAGCCTACGTCTGTCAAACAAGTTTTGACAATTAAATGCCACATATATAGAATGTGGACAGTATTTGAAATTTGTAGGAGTATGAAAAACTTAGATGGTCCAACTCATTTGTCAATATATTTGTAACTTTGAACATGGTAAGATGAAGAACGTAGCGTTAGGATACCAAGTGGTATGAATATTCACAAGAATCAATTATATAAAAGGTTCTCATGATATGACATAACACTGACACGGAACGCGAAAGGCGGACATGGTTGAGTAACACCATGTGCCTACAACCCCCATGCATTTTCCTGTGAACATTTGATAGTTAGTACTAAATATATAAACATATTAATATCTGTGAAATTGAAGGAAACACGACATACCACTGAATTTAACATTTTGTCAGAATAAGATTCCAAGCAGTGACAAAACATTTTGAGATGCATAGTATGTGTAGATAAATGCCTGGCAAACGTTGTTGTTATTTGTGTGTTCGTCTGATTCGCTTCCTTAAAACAGAAAGAAAACATATTAGCTCCGGGATAATATATAGAAGACATAAATTAATTGAATTGTATTCACTCGTCGAAACGTTATGTGTGTGTTAAATATCCTACCGAGTGAGTCAACTAGCGGAATTGGTGTCGCGCTCCGAGAGTTTTCTTCGGGTCACACCAGTGTATGTCGCCATGACGACATGACGCCGTCTCAATGAACAGTAAGCCTGTATGGGTCTGCACACCTATACCTGTATAGAGACATATAGTCGCTAGTTCAATCGAGTAAGCACATAATAATAGAGGACAACGAAAATAGAAGAGGATTTTTTAAAACACTGATAAGATGGCCTCTAAAGGGGTAAGTTGTGTATATACATTTGTAGAATTATCTGTCTTTCGTCCAGCTAAAGTTATTATTTTTTCATTAGCATTTAGTTTGTTTGTGTGTGTTCAACATATAATATATATATTGTTGTAGCTTTTATCGCGATATCTATTCGACTAATAATAGACACACCTGTGTAGCGGAACACCTGGTTTTAAAGAAACGCTATGTAACTCACAAAAGTTATATGGCATAACACTTCATTTGTATCTACCTTCAATACAATGTTTTATTGAAAAACAACTGAAAACAAATTAACAATAAAAAGGTCACCCTGTCTAGTGAGTCTCGTTTCTGATATAAATATGTTATGATTTTTCGTAAAACGAAAGATGTCGATAAATTATTAATTCTCACTTTACGGTAAATGCCTTCGTATGTTTATTAATCTCCTTCGCTTTAATGAAATAACTTGAGTGAAATAACAGAGCCCCTTAACAAATATTGTCGCACTGGCAATCAAGTCAGTATCATACCCCACACCATTTCTTTGTTATTTTCGCAGATTTTACAAAATATACATAAAACATATATATTTCACACACGCTCACTGATAAATATTTTGTATCATCATCATCGTCGGCGGCGTCGTCGTCGTCGTCGTCATCATCGTCGTCGTCGTCGTCGTCGTCATCATCATCAGAGATATGTAATGTAAAAACAACAAGTCTTTGTTCAGTGTGAAAGGGAAGTCGGATAAGGATTTACGGAGGGAAGAGAGAATTAAAAATACAGAACATGTATACATATATGGTGATGTGGAATGTAATGATTCTAGCTGCGATTCGGGGTTATGAGTGAAAAGTTCAAGTGAGTTTTTTTCTGTATTGCGGTTTACATCCTCTCAAGCAAGTGCCATATAAAGGATGATGAGGCCATTCACAGGCAAAGTTAGCATAAAATACAATTGTGTGGTTGCTTACTTCAAATTTCGAAAGAAACAAAGTTCAAGAAATATATTACAAATAGAAGTTGGATTGAATTCGTAAGGGTTGAGTGCATATGATTAGGAAAGAAAACACAAGAGTGTGACAGAAGTTGCTTTGGAACAAGAGACTGAATATTTAAGGTTTTGTGTTGGAGTTTGGATCTTCATTTTTGTAATAAAATCTTATAACTTTAAACTTGAAGATTTTATTACAACGGTTAATTCGGATAGTGTTTAGCATGATAGAAACCATAAAACTCAATATTCGTATCAAGGAAGAAAATGGTGGTTAACATCCACAACTGGAAAGAAACAAACACAAAAAATGAATAAATAAATAATTGAATATAATAAACTCAAAGTCGACCTTGAAAGATTTATTGATTTAGCAATCAGGTGTAGCTTGCACGTGTTCGGTAGCTCATGCATTTATCATTTAAATGTGAATCGCTCTGATAATGTTCTTATCGAAATTAACTGAAGTGGAAAAAGACAAACCTAAACTAGTTAGGACTAAATAGACACACGTCAGACACATACATTGTAGCTCACCACTGAAACGCGAGGAACGAGACATTCCACAGGTGTCAAATTTACACCTGGCTGCATACATTATTACACTGTATATAATTGGAAGGACACTGTAGATATTGAAGAAACGAATTGATCTTATACAGTATGAGAGATGTTAATGAATCATCCAATGTACTATACACTAAGCTAGAAAATAGTGTGACGATATTGACGACAAATCTAAAGCGAAAAAAAAGTCGAACTGGTAGACTCGCATAAATGCATTAAGTTGTAACAATTCACAATAGGTCACTTTTCTGATAATCGATACTGCGTGGTCATCGAAACGTCAGACATGATTTTTTAACTGGTTATCACAGACAAAATGTGTAAAATGTACCAATCTGTACTTGATAGGTAAAGTGACACATTGTCTAATTCAAAACACACTGATTCAGACTAACTACATTTTCAAATAAGAATTAACTTCGCAGTAAGTTGTCGATAATTTTTCGATTTCTGAATATGTGAATTGCCATATTCTATATGTTTAAACCTTAAAGATGAATTATGAGTTAAAACCACACAATGGTATGTTCCCTTTGGCCTACTTGTATTGGTTACGTTCACAGCAGATTTGTTAATAGCTGATTATCGTACTGGTATTGTCCCTGTGGCTTATAAATACAGATGTAATAACCCGGTGATTGGGTTTGTGCCTAAAAGATTGTAGGTAATGGGGACAGCCCTAAAGACATATTTTTCAGAGGTCCGAGTTGCATATTCGGAGGAAACCAGGGTGTGTCATTGTAACAAGACAGTGATAATGTTGACATTGTGCAGGAATTATATATTTATTATGGTATGATAAAAGTTTGATAGAGAGGTATTGACAGTGTTTGATGATGGAATGGTGACTTACACAGGCTGTTTTATGTATAAAGAATTTACCAGGTCGGTTTGACGGAAAGGTGACTTAAATAGTCTATTTGATGTAGAGGAGATTTACATAGCCGGGTTTTGTTGTGAATTTGATAGGGAGGGATGCAGTGTGTTTGATAGAGACATGGGAAGCTTTCTCTTTCATGTCTATCGGTAAGGTTGGACATTATGTATGCATAACATGTAGATAGTTCATCCTTAAAACGTGAATAACTATAATCACACACATTTACCGCCGAGAGTGGGTTTCCATTCGAACTAAATGTGTGTGGTTTTTCTCTACAGTAATCCATAAACTAATAGAAATGACAAGAGGAAACAATGCGATGGTAGTTTGTTAAATCGCTTCCTATATTTCCACCCTTAGACGTAGGAGGAAGCAACTGTAAGACGAAATTTAATTCAATATTCTGAATATTCTTAGTCTATTCTAAATGTACATTGATAGAAGGTATTTACCTCTCGTGTACCTTTGTATAATTATTCCTCACAGGCGTTGCAAGTAATTGGGCTTGGTAGTAGAGTGAATGTTCCCTAGGACACAATACTTCCACAATTACGTCTGTGTATTTAAAGTGTGACACTAGAACGACGGGACAGTGTGGAGCTTGTTCAGAGGAATCACACTGTAAATATTTGATATTTAAATCTATAAGTTATTCCCTTGCCATTCAAAGTATTTAAATGGTTAAACCTGTAAGGTAAAATATATATATACAAAGTCCACTTAAGTTTATCGTTAAGCCCAAAGCTCTCCTATACGGTAGATATCGTTGTATTTTAAACCTTTAAATAGGGTTATGTCTATAATTATGTACCTTAATTGTCAGGTAGCCTGATAACTAACTTTGTGATATCAAATCGGTTCATTAAAATACATATGAAAAATTAATAGCTTTGAATATAAAGGTGAAGAATTTTCGTCAGAATTGAAAACACGTGCGTACCTTTAAGGACGAATTGATTTTAAATTCATGTCGCTGTCACCGTGTGTGTTGTACACAATGGATTGTCAGATACATGTGTAAACGTTTAATGAAACGTTACTATTTAAGTACTCATGTACACGTCGATATTTCTATAACAATGTTTACACATGCGTATGATAATTACAGATTTCCAAAAACATTTTTTTTAAAAAGTGCTTATTCAGTGAGCCAGAACAGTGACGACTTCCATTGAATTACTGTATTACACAGAAAGCAGCAGGCCATGGTATTTCGGCGTCATTGACGACGCCGCGGGATCTTAAACATACAGTTCTACTTTCACTCGATTCACCATTCCACAGTAGCCATATACATTACCCCACATAAACATTCATACTTACATTACACAATCCTCTCTATACACATCACCATACCTATATAGTTCTACTTAAATCCCATACAATACAGCTCACCATTTCTATACATGTCTACTTATATATCCTACCATATAGAGTAATGAACATTACCCCCCCCCCCTCCTCCTCCCATCCCAATACAGTTATACATGTACTCCTTACGATATACATCACCCTACTTAAACATATCCATGTCCCCCTGCAGCTCTAATTATACCCCCTACCATACATATCCATGTTGCCCTGCAGATCTAATTTTACCCCCTACCATACATATCAATGTCCCCCTGCAGCTCTAATTATACCCCCTACCATACATATCCATGTCCCCCTGCAGATCTAATTATACCCCCTACCATACATATCCATGTCCCCCTGCAGCTCTAATTATACCCCCTACCATACATATCCATGTCCCCCTGCAGTTCTAATTATACCCCCTACCATACATATCCATGTCCCCCTGCAGCTCTAATTATACCCCCTACAATACATATCAATGTCCCCCTGCAGCTCTAATTATACCCCCTACCATACATATCCATGTCCCCCTGCAGTTCTAATTATACCCCCTACAATACGTATCCATGTCCCCCTGCAGCTCTAATTATACCCCCTACAATACATATCCATGTCCCCCTGCAGCTCTAATTATACCCCCTACCATTATACCCCCTACCATACATATCCATGTCCCCCTGCAGCTCTAATTTTACCACCTACCATACATATCCATGTCCCCCTGCAGCTCTAATTATACCCCCTACAATACATATCCATGTCCCCCTGCAGATCTAATTATACCCCCTACAATACATATCCATGTCCTTCTGCAGCTCTAATTATACCCCCTACCATACATATCCATGTCCCCTTGCAGCTCTAATTATACCCCCTACAATACGTATCCATGTTCCCCTGCAGCTCTAATTATACCCCCTACCATACATATCCATGTCCCCCTGCAGCTCTAATTATACCCCTACAATACATATCCATGTCCCCCTGCAGATCTAATTATACCCCCTACCATACATATTCATGTCCCCCTGCAGCTCTAATTATACCCCCTACCATACATATCCATGTCCCCCTGCAGATCTAATTATACCCCCCACAATACATATCCATGTCCCCCTGCAGATCTAATTATACCCCCTACCATACATATCCATGTCCCCCTGCAGCTCTAATTATACCCCCTACAATACATATCCATGTCCCCCTGCTGCTCTAATTATACCC